AAGTACGTACCTAGGCAATGGGTTCATTGTTCTGAGTCCGGTGCTTGGATGTGCGAGGCTCGCGGTCTGGTGCTTGAATGGAACTCTGACGGGACTTCAGCCTCATACCTTTCTTTGTTCGCGCTCTTTTGTTCCCAAGGCCCTTTTAAAGGTGGTGCGCCAACTTCCGTTTTGCCGTCCATCTCAGACCCGTCAACGTCATTCTTAGGATCTCGCTGCACGATTCGGATCCATATCATCTCTACACAGTCGTACTCTCTACACGGACGTATCGACTGAGTACACAGTACAATCTGGACAAAATGGCTGTAAGTGAAACCACTGGACGCTTAAAACACAGCGCTGACTTGGACAAAGGGCCCGTATCCTCAGCTTGTACTGTTTGGCGACTCGCTATTGCAGCGTTCTGTCGACCTGCAAGACGGGTTTTCCATGCAGGCTGAACTGCAGTCACGTAAGGCAAACCACCCGCTCTCGTCTCATTGATACTGATCCTTACACAGGATTCATTCGACGGCTTGATGTTGTGAATCGTGGCTTCTCAGGTTGGAACACTGCCAATGCTGTCAAGTTTCTCTCCGAAATCTTCCCGAAGCCGACAGAAACTTCGCCCAAGATCAAATACTTGGTATGCACCATGAGTCCCTTCATTCCAGATTTCCAGCTAACCTTGGTTCTATGTTAGGTAGTTTTGCTCGGCGCCAATGATGCCGCGATTCCCACCTCTTCACAGCATGTCCCAATCGACCAATACAAAGAAAACCTGACAAGAATTGTCACACACCCACACATTCAAGCACACAACCCAAAGATATTATTGGTTACCCCTCCCCCAGTGGATGAGATCAAGTTGACAAAGCTTGGGGGAAACGATCACGCGCCCGCCGCTCGGTTGTCCGCGGTCACTGCCTCGTACGCGGAAAAGGCGCGAGAAGTTGCCAGTGAAAATCTAAACGTCAGTTCAGTTGATCTGTGGAAAGCTATTATGGACAAGGCTATCAGCATGGCGGCGCCAAACGATTATATACAGGGTGGACATTTGTTGGGCTCCCCTGAGAACGGTAAGCCGGGTGGATTGGACAGTCTTCTTCCAGATGGCATTCATATGAGTGGTGAGGCCTACAGAGTATTCTATGATGAACTGAAGGATTTAATCGGAGAAGAATGGGCAAACCTAGCTGCTGATGATAGATCAGGGTACGTCTTCCCGGACTGGCGTGTCCTGAACCCTCTCAGGGAATGAGTGGTGAACTGTGGTGCGACTCGCGACATCATTTCAAGTCAATACGAAAGATTAGATATTGATAGATATTGATAAAATAGAATCGTGCTTCATTTACGGGGCTGTACGTTGAACAGTGAAGAGAACATGTAGTCAAGCCCCAACGGTTCACCTCTATCTATGAATTCAACGATACGTACCGATTACTCAAGAAGTATTGCCGCGGTCGTCCTCAGTGATTCCTCACTGCCTAGACCCCAAACCCCCAAAACTCCGTGCAATTAATGACTAGGAGTGCTGCATGGAGGGGTATGTCTTATTATTTTAGATCCAAAACGTACTATGAGCCCACGTGGGCCATGCGAAAGGACTGCAAATGTCATGTCTCATCATGCCATCCTTACGCAGTTTTCAAAACGGCTCAATCTTTCAGCTTTTACCGGATCGTCAGAATACATCCCTTTATTATTTATTTTTGTTGTTCCGGAAAGTACCTCAGGTGCCTGAAAAATGCAAGACAACAGGGACATGCAGCTTCCGGGACCGCTCCTGCCAATGGTTCCTCCCACTCGTTGGCCCGTCTCAGTTTAGCGCGGATATACCCACAGGGGCCAGGGAGGAGCAGGCAGGAAGGGGGGGCCCTGAGCCGTCACCTTTCAGCAACTTGGCCAACCTATCGAGCACCAGACTGTTAACTCGTCACCGTTCAACTTCATCCCTCCATCTCCCGACAGCGCTTCAACACCAACTTCTGCAACCACTTTCCCTATTCACTAGGGCCTGCAAACACGCGACTCTACCAAGATCCGAATCGATTGAACACTCCAAAACTCTTGAATAACTGGAAATCCACCTGGGCTCGCCTCGATACCCATCAACTCGGCGCATTCCAATTCGTTCAGCTCCCGTGACGAACTCATCAGAACCATAAATCACCCCCGGCATCCGACTTTCCTGCACGAGAAAGCAGCGTTCTATCAAATACCGGGCTCTCGAATAATCAATAAGTCGTCAAATACTACGTCTAACACACCTCAGTTTCCAGACATTCAACGATAACGGATACCCTCGAAAGCATTTCCACTCCTATTGTACTTCGGTTGGCGCAGCATCCTGATATCCCCAGAGTCCCGACGTTCCTAGCATTTCCATAAACACGAATCAGTGCCATCGGAATATTTTGAAAGTTGTGTAGCCGTTGCGCTTGCGCAAGGCCATCGCCATCGGCGCTGCAGGGCCACTCGTAGGTCTTGACCTGATGATGCGTGGGGCGGAGTTGTCTTGAAGCGAGAAAGGAAGTTCAGCCAGGCGCCAAACGACTCTGTTAGTATTTTTCTGGGTGACGGAGGAAATTCTACAAGAGTACTGTACAACAAGACGTGTCGACAAATATTTTCGTTCCCTCAATCATTTGCCTTCATACCGCCATTCAACCAACCAAGACACTGATGCCATCTTCCGACCTGGCACAACCTGGTACATCCTACTTTGTGTTGTGCCAAAAAGAGTTTTTTTTTTTGCTCTTGAAGAATGGATACTCGGTTTCCCATCTCGCGTGATGATCTGTATAACCTACAGATGGAGGTGAAACAAGTTCAATATACCCAGAGCAATCACGCGGAGCGGCTGTTGAGATTAGAGAAACGCAGTGCGGATGATTCAGCTTTGAAATCAGTGTGGAATTCCCCGTTTCCCGGAATTTTAGGCGGCACGCCACACCAAGGTATATAAACCGTTGAAATTAGCTAGATACAAGTGCTGACTAGACTACAGGGCCTGTCCAAACACCACACAATGATGTTTTCGATGACTTGGATGAGCAAGGGGAGCAACTGCTCGGGTCTCTCCATCTCGGCCCAGCTGAAGAAGAGCCTGTGCGACGGGGTGCAGCTTCGCGAGCTAATAGTGTTAGGTTCGATGAAAGCGCCTTGCATGGCTCCAGCTGGGGTGGCCAAAGCAACCGGCATTCGGGCGACTTTGGGCCTTTACGACCTGGCAGCGGGCTTATGATGGAACGCACTTTGTCCCACAAATCTGATGGGAGACACAGCTCTGCCGGCCACTCAGTTCACTCACACCATTCATTGGCATCCGGTCGGGCCAGTAGCCTGGGCCTTGATACCAACTACGCAGGGGGTGATGACGACTCTTCCTCGTTCGAGATACCCGGCCCACCGGTATCTCTGTATGTGCTAGGCACCGTGCCATCGATCGTTCGATGCTGGCTTACTACAAACTTCGCCCACGGCACTCTCTTGTACGCAGACGTTTGCACCGGCTCCCAAAAGTCCGTCGTCGATTCATCTTTGCTTAAAGAACTGGATCTCTTCAGGGAAGTTGAACGAGATATTGACGGAGTTGATCGAATCAGGCTCAATGTATATCTGGCCGAAGCAGTGGTTACACGACACGAAAGCCACAATGGAAGCTCAACGGGGGGAGTTCCTTCCATGGCGGTCGCGTTCGAGGTTACGGGCAACGAGCAGTCCAGTACGATTGGCGATCGTAAGGGCATTCGCATATATATTGGAAGTGATGCCTTGAGGGCTCATTCAGCCGATGTACTCTTTTCACAAAACACCATGGTCCTGTATGGAAATGAACAAGAACGGCTACGAGTTCCGTTTGTACGGCCTGAGGATGAGGATGCTTTCCGGTATATATACACGACGAGCATGGCACCGGAAAAGCCCAAATTGAATGCGACGGCAACACCATTTGTTCTAGGAGACAGCCGGGCCTCGAATAATGGTAGGAATGGCGCACCCTCTCCAGCAACGCTGCACGAAAAAGCGGCGCCTGCTCAGCCAATATCACCTCATGAGTCGGATATGGAGTCTCACAAATCAGAGGAGCGGCAAGCAACCTCTGAACATGGCGGCGATAGTGACAACCACGGACGAGAAGCAAACTATTCCGAGACAAGCGGAAAAGATGACACGAGCGCTTCAGAGGTGTCCCGACGGGAGTCATCATCAACCTCTACTGGGATATGGGGTTCGTGGCGACAAGGCGCTGGCGCTGGGCCAGATGGGACACAGCGAGAGACTGGCCCTCTGAGTGGCTACCAACCGGCGGGTCGCAGTGGCCGTAACATGAAGGTATTGAAACCTCTAAAATCAAACTCCAATTCGGCCCGAACCGGTGCTTCATACGAGCCACCCCTGCCGCCTAAATTCTCCACTGAGGGTAGACGCAAGAGTCAGGTCAGCTTGAACGGTGATGGTGGCGGCGGCGGCATCAGCGTGGCCAGCCGTTGGGATGTTAAACGGTCTGTCAGCTCAGGTGCAGAGCTCAAGATGGAGAGTTCGAATCGAGAGAATCAAAAGGGCGCAACACTGCCGCGATCTGCCAACCCAGTTGGAGTGGCTTCTGCGTTCTCGTGGATGACCCCGGCCACCAAGGCTTCCAAGACTTCACCGGCAGGAGGGTGATTGCTATGTGTCATAATAGGTTTGCTCTAGCTTTGTCCATTGTTTATGCTTACATGATGTGCTGTCGATTCTTTTTTTCTTCTTCTTGGAATCAGGCCAGGGGCGGAGGGGATGGGGGCCATGTAGAGGAGGTAATTCACATTTGAGAGGCAATGGAATCAGGCCAGAAGCGACTACAGCCACGACCTCATGATGCAGGAAGTGTAGAAATAAAACAACAGAAGTTCTCTACCAAATATGCCTAGGTTTTACATTCATGGCAGAGTGAAAAGGTGGTATTTTTGCAAATACGCAACATGACAAAAGGGAGAAAAGGGGGAAAAAAGAAAATCTAAAAAGTCATTCTAAATCTTGGAAGTCGGCGGCAACGTCTCGAGCACCTTTTTCGTGTCGGCCACGGCACCCTTGACGACGCCAATCAAGGTCTTGAAGGCTGGGTTGGAAGCGTCGCCCATGCACTCGTACATCCAGCTCTCAGAAGAGGTGACGGTGACGCCGTGCTCGGCGCGCAGCCTGTCGAGGGCGATGATGACCTCTGTCCTGTTGCAGCTGCTGACGGCGTCGGCAATGACGTAGGGGAAGTGGCCTGCGTCGCGGAGGTCGAGGGCGGTCTGGGTGATGCAGATGTGGGACTCGATGCCGACGAGGGCGACGCGCGAGGCGGGCGGCAGGGCGGCGGCCAGCGGGGGGATGAGCATGGAGAACTTGGTCTTGTCGTGCGGCGGCGAGGGGAGGAGAGAGGCGAGCGCGGGGACGGTAGGGCCGAGCTTGGCGGCCGTCTGGGTGGTTGCGTGGACGGGGATGTTGACGGCGTTGGCGAAGGTGAGCAGCTTGGTCGTGGTGGCTACACTGGTCGTGGTGTTAGTTTTTTTTTTTCGTCGTCGTCGTCGGGGGACGAGAGAGGGAGAGGGGGAGAGAGGGAGGGTGAGGGTGGCGTACATGCTATCGAACTCGTAGATGGCATTGCGGAACTTTTCCTGGAGATCGCAGACCCTGCAGCTCGTCAGTACGGGTGTGCGGACGCGGCACTGGCTGGTGAGGCGGCGCGCGCGTGAAGAACAGGTCGGGCGGTGATGACGAACAAGACGGCGGGGTTCTCTGCGCGCGGTGGGCGATTAGCTCGAGGGCCCGGGGCGTGGGACGTCAATTCAATGTTGACGGTGGTGGACGTGAAGGGACATGACTTACTGAAGCGCAGCTCTGTAGGGGCGGAAGGACCAGCCATGTTGCGAAGCTGGCGCGGAAGGAGCGCTCTTGGACTACAGGACGACGATGTCGGAGGGGTGAAGTTGGCCGTCGAGGAGGTAGCACGACGGGGACGGGGACGACAGGGAGGAGGGGCAGTAAAGTGCCGAGGATGCGGGAGGCGGCGAGGGTGGATCGAGCGAGCGGCCGAGGACGACGCGCACAGGGCCAACGGAGCGGAGGCGAGGATGCGCTGCGTCGCGTGAAGTGAATTCATCCCCGTGACGGCCCGTATTCCTCGATCCAACTTCCTTGCTCCGTTTCGACGACGGCTGAGCTGGTCGTTGGTTGACGACACGGGGCCGCGGCGGGTTGATGCGAGGAATACCAGCTAGGTTGTGTTTGCGACACAGCGGTGAAACAAAATAGTGTCAAGTCAATCCCCCTTGTCGTTGGCTAGTGGACATTAACGGCTGTGATGGGATGATTGCGGGGGAAGGAAACATTGAAGGGGGAGGAGGCGGCTTGTTTTAATTGGGTCACGGCAGTTTGCTTTTGGTAGGGCAGGAGCCATGAGTCCGGCCGTAGGTAGGAAGTTGCGGCCACGCTGAAAATTAAAGTTGAAAAAAAAAGAAAAGAAACGAAACGAAACGAAACGAAAAAAAAAAAAAAGCATATACAGGTGTAGCTGACGTGGTATGCGTGCGATTGCCCATGGGCCATGGCAAGCTGAACCGTCGAGTGTGTCATTTGACATTTTGTCGTCGGGATCCGACGGGCACCGGTGGCAAGGCAGCTGCACGCATGTCCATGTGAATAGCTTCAATGTTGGCTGAACGGCATGGCATAAGAGCTGCTTCTTGGAGATATGGGTTAATTCAACTCCCCCCTGTGCGCTGGCTCGCCCGTTGTCGTTTCGCTCCAATTATTGCCAGTCTATGAATATTAGCATGGCCAGGTGCATTCATCACTCCACGTCCATGATAACAAAATCCATTTTTTGTAATGGGCAAATCTGCTTGCATAACGTCCTGTATATCTATCTACTCATTGTCTAGACGCCCAAACTCCAAGCGATGCAAAACTAAACCACACAAACATAACAAAACTCCATGCAATGCCGGTATATCCGTGACTACGCCCAAAATCAAGACGTGACCTCGGCAAACCACGTCCTCAACAGGCCCGCCAGTGCAGTCGGCAACTCCTCCAAGTTATGTACAATCAAGTAGTACTGGAAGGGGAACGTGTCCAGATACGGCTTGAGCACCACCCTGCTCTCCCCGTTGTCGTCCTTGACAAACTTGGCCTCCTTGAGCTCCAGCACGCTGTCGCCCTTTTTCTTGCCAGTGTCGTCCATGATGATAAAGACAATCATGATTCTCTCCTCCATGGCCTCGCGCAGAAGCCGCCGGATTGCGTCGTGCGCCGGAGACGGCGTCAGCCCGTCGGACAGAATCAAGGCCAGCTGCCACAGATCGCCATTGCCTCCAGATTGCTGCCTCGCCGCGCGGAACTTGTCGATAGTCTGCCGGATGAGCAGCGCAATGTCGGTGCGATCCTGCGAGAAGTTGAACTTTTGCAGCACCTTGGCCCCGGCGTCCGAGGCAAACGGCTCCGTGAGCTCGTGAGCCGTGAAGACGTCGCCGCCGAACCCGACCACGCCAACCTGCCCGGCCTCTAGCATGGCCAGAGACCGAGACACCATCACCAGCGATTCCATGGCCAAGCTTCCCGACGAGGACTCTCCCATGCTCTTGCTGTCGTCCACGCAGAGGAGAATCTGGTACGTCCGTTTGGTCGGGATAGCACGCCGCATCCAAATCTTGTCACGCTTGTAGCTGGATGCGATGTATGGGATGATGCGTTTGATGTTGAGTCGCTTTCCCGTCCTGAACGACCCCGACAGCTTGGTGGATTGAGACGGCGTCAGAATGAGCCGCAGCTGAGAAGTCAGATTCAATGAAAGCGCATGAGACTTGGTCTGGAACTCGCTCCACTGCTGAAGACACTCTCCATAGTCGCGAGGAACCCGCGCTTCATCGCCAATGTGCGTCGTAGACAGTTGTTCCGATGTTTCTTCGATGGGCCCATCGTCCGGCTCGCCATCCTCTGCAACTCCGTCATCTGCTTCAGATGGTGTCTCTTCTTGGTTGTAGTTGCCCTGTCGAGTTTGTACGCCGGTCCGACCATCATCTGCTTCTTTGCTATTTGCTGCCTCGCGGGTCTCCTCGGAATCTCCAAGGTCCATTTTGTCTGGCGCCTCCTTGGCTTCATCATCCGCGTCCTCCTCCATTCGGTTGCTTGTTGGGTCGTCCTTCTCGCCTTCGTCATCGATAGCCATGGCCTCGTCAATGGGCTGCACCTCATCCTCCTCAGCATTTCCCATTGCTTGCGTATCGGCGGCTGCCTCGTCATTCTGCAAATGCTGGTACTCTTGCCGGCCCTGTTCAGCATTTTCTCTTTCGTCTGCCTTCTGGTTATTGGAGTCTTCCTGGTTCGCGTCCATGATATCTGCATTCTGACGGTGCCACTTCTCCAACGCATCGCCCAATTTGCGAAACGGGTCGCTTCTTGCGGAATTTTCGTCATCGTCTTCTTGTTGACTCTTGTCTACAGTTTCGTTTGACCGGGACGTAGCGCCTTTGCTGCCCGCGCTGGTATCTTGGTCGGCTGCGCCATCTCCTATATCTCCTTGCTCCTGCTCCGCCGCTTGCGCTTGGAATTTGTCGTCAATATCCATTGACTGTTGATTTTGATCCACCCCAGTGCTCTTGACGTCGCTGGGAGCAGCATTGTCAATATCCGTATTTTCATTATCCTGTGGAGGTTGGGTCACATCTTGAGCCGTTTCTTCCTTGCTTTCCTCTTCTGCTTCGTCATCCACATCGGATTCCACTTCGTCCTTGACTTCATCAGCTCCAGTCGGGACCTCCTCCTCATCCTCACCGATCTCGTCTTCTACTTCTCCAGCTTCTTCCTTCAACTGCTGCCCCGCTGCATCCTCCATATCCTCATCAATTTCATCCTTCTCAGCTGGTTGCTCTTCAGGCTGGTCGGCCTCGCCTTCAGGGTCGGATAGGTCGTCCAAGTCATCGTTATCTGAGACTTCCTCTTTGTCGTCAAGATCTAGCTCCATGTCCTCGGGGAGTTCAAGCGCGTCATTCTCTTGAACATTTTGGTCTTGCCGATTTAACTCCTCTTGAGCATGTACATCTTCTTCCTCAGCTTCAGCCTCCTCTTCTTCTTCTCCTTCCCTCGGCTGTTCCTTCTCCTCACGAACTTCAGGCTCCTTCTCGGCATCCTTTTGCTTTGTATCCTCATCTGCTGCCATTTGCTCGTCATGTTGTTGTTGACCCTTTGCTTCGTTTCCTTGTTGGTCTTTGTCAGCATTGTCATCATCATCATTGCCGTCCCACATCTTCTCGTCGACCGCCGTAGGATCAAGGTCATCAACATCACCGGCCTCTTCATCCATGTCATCCTCCTCTTCCTCTTTCTCATCACCTTTCTGGGAACCTTCGTCCTCATCCTCTCCAGCAACGCTGCCCAGTTCTCCTTCCAGATCTTCGTCTGCCATGTCCACCGCATCCTTTTCGTCTTGGATATCTTCATTCTTCTCCTTATTGGCTTCTTGGGCCAATTCCGTAAGATCTTCATCAGGTTGAATGTCCTTGCTGATGTCCTGTGCACCCTCGCCGTCGCCCAGACCGGTGCCAGCCTCTAGTTGTCCAGCATCGCCCGATGTCTCGTCCGACTTTTCTTGTGGTGTGCAGAAACCTTGGGAAACAATCTGATTAAAAGCCTTGGTTAAATTGTATGCCATGTGTACGGAGGCGCGGTGCATTTCCAACCCCTGGCCTATGGAACGCGAGCAAAGCGTCAAGAACTGGTCCAGTATCGGGGAAGCAATGTTGATGACACACGCAGCTGCGGTGCTTGTTTGCTCATCGTCAAGTTGAATTTGTCGTATCGTGTCAGTACAGCGGCGAACTGTTCGCTCCACATTGTTCATCCGCAACTGGTCGATCATGGCAAAGAAGCCCTCACAATGTTTCGTTAACCAGCCAGGCTCGCCAGGCTCTCTGGGAACGACAACGCCCTTCTTCTTGGCATTTTCAATCGCAACAAGTACTGTGTCGGCCAGACTGGACACGGCGTTGGCGAATGTATCCAACGTTGTGTCTCCGATAGAACTGTCATAGCTTCTGGATTCAGTTTTGGTCCAGGCTTTAAGATGAGAAAGAATGAATGCCAAATCTTCACGAATCTCAACCAATTGGCCAATTCTGTGATCAATCTCATCCAAATCTTTCAATACAACTTCTCTCATCTTGTCATGTGCCACTGAGCTGATTCCAACGGGCAACTGCACCAAGGTTTTAAGTGCTGCAGATCTAGCTGCCAGACGCGTTGCCCACTCCTGCAATTCCTGGATCACGGCCTTATTATCAATGTTTCCAATTTTCCCGTGTGTCTCAGTAAGGCGGATAGCAAATTGAATGGCAGGACCAAGCCATTGCACCAAGTGTGTCCAGTCGCCGTCAAATCTTTGGTGAACAAGCGTGCCATTCTTCGCAGCGTTGCCCAGATTTTTGAATTCCTGAACTGCCTGTTGCAAACTTTCTCGGAGTTGGGTAGCGGCGCCAAGGCTCTGGCGTTGGGTGAGGTTGAAGCTGATCAAACCCTCAACGAACCCTACACTTCTTGCCACCTCAGCGCCCGTGAGGTCATCAGAATGTTCTCGAGAAGCTTCTCTAGCCCTCGGGGCAAGATCTAACGTTTTGTGCAAATAGTACTCAGCTTCCTTCGCTGCTGCTGATTCGGGGGACTTGACTGCCGCGAGTGACGACAGAACAACAGCCAGTGAATTCTGCTCCGCCAACTTATCTTGTGATAAATTATGCTGTAGCCCCATCGTTCGCAGATCCCGTAGCGTATCCGCAAAGAGTTTCCGTTTTCTTGTCTTGAGATGCTTAATTTGGTCCTTGTTTTCGTCATTGAGAATTGATGGCGTCTCCTTACGCAGCTCAGCCATGG